TTGGACAGGTACCTTTAAATAAAGTAACCAAGTATTTAAAATTGCGTGTCCAAGTTTATCATTACCTATGTAGTTGATAATTAGTATTCACTACGAAATATTTATCGGCAATACAAATATAAATTTCGAGAACCCTTGTTTAGCTCACGAAGTTATGGCGTCTTGTTATATTGGTATAATAAATCTGTATTATATATTACTTTGCACTAAAGAAACCAATACTTGAATGAGTCTCAGACATAAGTTTTTTTACTTATTTCGTTTCATATTTCAAAAATCGAAAGAAACTCTTCTCTTTATCCCGTTTAGATGATAATAAACAGCCGTACACAGCACAATTGACGGCCATTATAAATAGTAACGTAAAATGATGTTATATATTAATCTATAAATTTCGTAATGAATAAATGAAAACTATATTCAAATATCAAAGCCGTCTTAGCGCGAGAGCCGTTTGGCTCCCCGGCAGCCTTGTTCTCGTTCAGTCAATGTGACCGTCAATGTGCGGGGCGTGGTGCGGTTTCTAAAGCTAGGGAGGGGCGGAGAGTGTCCGTTCTCGTTACTTATTTGTTCGCTGTCTAAAGCTAGGGAGGGGCAGTTTTAACAACTCAATGTGACTCCTTGTAGCTATATCTATACAAGTACCTATATAATGTGGAACACCTTTATCCGATCGTTGATTACATTGACTTACAAATAAATGGACGACGGGTCTAATACAAAAAACCACGAAAAAAATGTCCCAAGTCAACCTATTCGAAATTTAAATTGTAATGTCATCGCAATATCGCGCTGTCACAGAACAAATGAAGACTAAAGCGGAGTGTAGCGCTCTGTATACGATTTTAGCGCCTTACAAGTGCGGACACTTTTTAGCGCGGACCCGACGTCCATATAATTGTAAGTCAATGGTTGATTATGATAGTTAGATATGGAGGGTAGAATAGAACAGTTAGTGACCGTAGTTATGAAGCACACTAGCAGTAGACCTCCTTGTGAAAGAGTTAGTCCAGGTAAGTACTGCCACCTTGTATTGTGAGCATGGCTGCGTTCCGGTTTAGAAGGGTAATGGGAAGGGATTATGTCTCACGGTGACGGGCGTCAAAGTGAAATAATCTTTATTGCATAGGTTAGAAAATTACAATTGAAATCGTCATACTGATTAAACTCTATTGTTCATTCGTAAGGCAGATTCCCCTGAGAAGAATGAGCAAGAAACTCTAGGGGTTGCTCTTTGTAAATATACATTTGAATACATTTATCATTACAATATTTTAGTAGGGCTTAGTTGGCATCGGGTCTGGCACGGTTTGCTAGAAGACGTCGGTTCGAATCCGGCCGGATCGAAGGAATTTTTCCTAAGTGTTCGATCTTTGTATTAATAACTATAACAAACTAGTGGAGTCATTTCAAAAAAATAATTGAATATCAATTCAATAAAAATTTAATTAATACAGTGAATAGCGACATATCTCGCCAGGACTGGTAGCTGTAAAGGTACTAACTGGGTGATAAATCTGTCATTGATTTCTCATAGATGGCGCTAAGACTAAAAAGTCGTTGAAAGACCAAGTACAAAGAAGTTTGTATTAATAACTATAACAAACTAGTGGAGTCATTTCAAAAAAATAATTGAATATCAATTCAATTAAAAATTAAATACAGTGAATAGCGATATCTCTAGCCGAGACTGGTAGCTGTAAAGGTATCTAACTGGTTGACGAAATACTTGTATAGATTTCTCATAGATGGCGCTACGGCTCAAAAGTCGTTGAAGAAACCAAAATACAAAGATACGACAACAAGTACCACGCCAGCACATCAAGCCACACATTGACGTATCTTGTTCCGTTGCACTGGAGGCGATTTTCGAACAAAAATGTGTAGTCTGATGTGCCGTTGTCCGTACATAGAAAAATTCGTGAGGTCCGCTGGTTCGTTCCGTGGCTTAGTTGGCATAGCGTCTGACACGGTTGGCTAGAAGACGTCCGGATTACAATGTTTAATTTAAACATCTTAGATCGAGAATACCTTAAAGAGCTAAACGGGTCACTAGCACGGATTTTTAAATCTTTGGTATAAAGTTTTTGTTTTACAATAGTTTTAAACCTTGTAAATGGCAAATTTTGAATATCAATCGGAATCTTATTACAGAAGTAGTGGTAGTAGCGTAGTTGTAGTGCCCCTCAGATCCTTGCGATTTAAATGTCCGAGTGGCACTACAACTGTTATGGACAGCCGTGTAGCTTACCATCAGGCGTACGACATGTCGGTGCCGTCACTTAATATTATAAAAAATAGGACTGCATGGGATCTGAATGAAACGACCCTGATAATAATAACAAGTGGATGGCCAAACTAACAGGCGCCCCATTCAGCTCATTTTTTTGAAAATACAGGTCGTTGTCATTCCATTGAGACTCCATTTAGATTATTTAAAAATCTAGTTTTAGTGGAATGTCAGTTATGGCATATTCATACATTCCATTTATTAACTGCCACCGTGGCCGAACAGTTACCATGCCGGACTGTCACGCAGAGGTCCCAGGTTCGATTCACGGGCCGAGATAAATATTTGTATGGTCTACATTTGTTTCTCTCGTGAGTTTGGGTGTAATTTATGTTTGTCTATGTGTGTATCCATGGCACTCGCGACAGAAGGTTTCCCTAGTGCAGGGCTATGTTGAGTGTGTGCGTTATTATTATTAATAATAATAATAATAACTAATGGGATGATGATGAGGATGATGGGACACACAAGCTGTGCGCCTGGTGGCAAGCTACACGCCTGTCTATAACAGTTGCAGTGCCACACAGTTCTTTAAATCGCAAAGACCATGTGCCTGTAATTTCACCAGAGCACTAACGCTAAACTAAACGCGGTAATGCACATATTACTGCTTAGCTGCAGAATTAGTTAAGGTGACACTACTTCCCTGTAGGGCTAGCACGATAAGACGCGACTTGCGCGAGAGCGACATATAGCGCGAGATGTCTATGCGAGAACAGCAGTATCTCGCGCTTTATGTCGCTGTCGCGCAAGTCGCGTCCTATCGTGCTGCCCTACTGGACGAACTCTTTCACAAGGATCTCTACTGCTGCTAGATGACCAGATCAACGTATGTAATGTTGTCTGATATTTCAAAACGCAAGATGGAATTTAACTAATTAATAGGCTACCTATGGCATGTATTTACTATGTTTTACATCGGTATTGTTTCTTCTTTCACATACGAGGTTTTCACCCTAATGGAGGCACAACACTGTATTAATTATCCTGTTAAGAAATTTACAGTTAATTGAAAAGAGCCATATATCAATGAAGAACATTGTTCTCTTTTGATTAAAATTAATAATTCTAGAAACCCATTGTTCAGAACAAAACATGCAAGTAAATTATTACGAGGCGTACTGCGTATTTATTTACATGCAATGCGGTAGGGCTTTGAATTACTGTGCAACAAAACTATTTATGTGACAAGATTCTATGTAATATTTTAATATTATAAATGACACAATAAATTACGATTGAGCACGTTACTTCTTTTTTAAATTATTCGTAACAAAATTTAAATTTGAAAGAACTTATTCAATAACTGTTCTTTAGTTTTCGAGACCTGCATCCGGAAGTGACACGATTACGAAATCGTTTACTTAATAGAGCAACCCGTCAAGGTGTTATCACTTGTTATTTGCTATCACAAAACAAGGTTTGGACTTAACTGTAAAATCACTTATCAGTTAGTCGTGGTTTATTTAATCGTGCGTTTGAGTTTTATGAAACGCGGTTCAGATAAAACTGGATAAGATATGAATTATCATGAGATTAAACGTCATTTATCAGAATTAGAGCATGAGACGGTACAAGTTATATATAAATAATGTAGGCTGGTAATATATAAAGTTGTCTACAACAGCACGATGGTGAAAATCTATACCTAGTATAAAACACGCCTAAAAATCAGTTACTCATAAATAAAACACGTCTAGAAATCAGTTACACGTAAATAAGACTCGCCTAAGAAATCGGTTACTCATAATTAGACATGCCTAAAAAATAAGTTACACATACACAAGATTCGCCTAAAAATCAGTTACCATAAACAAGATTTGCCGTAAAAATCGGTTTCTCTTAAACAAGACTCGCCTAAGAATCATTTACTCATAAATAAGATACACCTAAAAATCAGCGAAGAAACGGTCTTGCGTCTTCCGAAGAATTCTCGCAGTCTCGGGAATTCTCGCAATTACCGCTTCGTGTCTAGTTTGTACGGTAATTGACATAAAGGTACAATTTCCTTACAGACTCTGCAGACTTAGCAGATTTTCTGCTTCCATTCCCTTCCACGGCAATGTAAATTGAGCTAAACTCTACGTATTTATATACATGCAGACTTGACACTAGACTTTGGACCGGCCTTATCGCCAGCGGCATAGAGTTTAATTTAAATATTTTGTGTCGAATTTGACGTGTTCATGACCCTGTGCTGATAATAATAATGCGTCAGACTATGACTACCCGAGTCCAAATTAACTCCGGAAACTACCCTAACCAACAAGAGCAATTTAGAATAGAAACCCATGTTATAATAACGCCACATATTATTACGTGATCATTGAATAATGAAAGTCATAAAAATAATACGACGTACATGAAACAAGTTGTGTATGTGATTTTTTTATAACTTCTATTTAAGCATAAAAAAGTTGTCGATTAATTTCGTTAGCTGTAGGGCTAGCACGACAGGGCGCGACTTGCGCGAGAGCGACATAAAGTGCGATATACTTCTGTTCTTGCGTAGATATTTCGCGCTTTATGTCGCTCTCGCCGCGCCCTGTCATGCTAGCTCTACAGATTCTTTAAGCCTTTCTCTTGCAAAATTATTTTGCAGATGAGGCCATATCACACTAAAAGTTCTATAAATTGGTTCTACCGAAAACCCGGGACCCCTTTACCAAGCGCCCAGCGTTAAGAGTCGATACTACCTTAGTTCGAATTCAGATTTTTCCCGTACTAATACGGTCCATTTTGCTTGGATCACGCGGCAGCTACACTGGCTTTATTTTCAGAATTAATTTTTTACAAACGAAATTAAAGCTATTTGAAAAATGTATTTAGTACACATTGACTTACTATTATATGGACGTCGGGTCCGCGCTAAAAAGTGTCCGAACTTATAGGGCGTTAAAATCGTATACAGAGCGTCATTCACGCTCTAGTCTTCGTTTGTTCGACTGACAGCGAAGCAAGCAAAATTAGACAGTACTGCGATGACATTACAATTTAAATTCAACGTTTTAGCTTTTTCATATTCCTTGACATGTCACTACGTCTAAATAGGTTGACTTGGGACATTTTTTTCGTGGTTTTTTTATTAGACCCGTCGTCTATTTATTTGTAAGTCAATGTTAGTACACTATACATGTTGTATTTAATTCAGTTGATATAAAGAAAACATCCACTGGTATATGTAGAGTACTTATTGAACACAGCAGTTTTCTTGTTTGTGTTTTTTGTATCGTGAAATTTTTTATGAATCGTGTTTTCACACCGTATATTAATTACTACTATACGGTGTGCGGTATCGGTGTATATCCTTAATTTTACTATATATTTTTTTCAAAATAATTGATTCAACGCTTTTGCTGTTAAGCGGAATCAACCAAAGCCATTTGTGGTTGTATCGACTCTTAACTGTAACCGTCGAACTTCTTAAGATCTATAACTTGACTTCCGCGAATTAGATTTTTAAGCCTTTGCCTGTTTTTGTGTTGTATTTGATGGTATAATTTTAATATATAGAATAGTATGAATGACTTATTAATTTGTGTTAGTTGTGTTAGTTGTGTTTGTGTGATTCATTCATGGACATCGGGTTATGGTGTTGTGTTTATAAGTGAATCTACATCGCCCTTCTACATACTACCTGCTATATATTTTATGGTTTTTAAAGATGATTTATGTTACCTATTTAGGTCCTCGCATGACATATGCCTTGAATGATGACTTTGATGATAAATTGATATGCCCAGCAGTGGAAGCTTGAGTTAATATACGAAATTAACTGGCTCCGTGGTCGAACGATACCACCACCATGCCGGACTGCCACGCAGAGGTCTCAGGTTCGATTCCCGGGCCGGGAGAAATATTTGTATGGCCTACATTTATTTCTCTCGTGAGTTTGGGTGTAATTTGTGGTGTTCTAAGTGTGTGTCCATTAAAATAGTCTCCTTCATAAACTTCGTAGTCCATGGATGAATCGACTATGTTTACTATTTGATTGTTGTTCTAAATGTCTAGTATTATTACGGACATTTTCTTATCTTACGGGGCTCAATAAAATTTGGTTAATTATATACATTATAAAGTTGCAATAAGTTTTATAAGACCTGTAGACTTGTTATCCACAGTTTTAATTTGTTTAGCGTTAATGTACTGTTTATTTAAAGACGAATTAACGGTCATTTGCATTTGCGGTCACGTGTCATCGTATGTCGGTTTTTAATTTAAAATTTATTTGCAATAAAAAATGAAAAGAGCCCTGTATAGATAGAAGATGACCTAAAAGCTAGTGTACTGTAAGCTTCTAACGATCCTTCCTTTCGTTTCAGTTGTTTTTGAGCAAGGATCAGGTAATAATGGTTTTACAGCACTTTTCCATTGACTAACTTTAAGTGCACGTGTTATTTAATGTAGTGCTTCTTTTGCTTAGTTTACATCTGTATTTAACCTGTTCATAAACAGTATTTATATAGTACCGTAAAAAGTCACTATTTTTCTTGCCGTTTGAGTATGTAACCAGAAATAGTAACGTCATTTAATTTGTTTGAAACTATTCTGCCAAATCATTATGGTGACAACTGCGCTCTGATTGGCCAGCCGATCAATTGACGGGTGTCGTCAATTGTTTCACTTCAAATGTACCAGTTTAACTAGAGCTTTGCTATAATGATTATGATATACCAATAAAATGTGATTCAGTTTGTTTTGTAATTAGATGTTTTGCTGTTTTTCCCACAACACCGAATGGAACGGCTCATCATTGTTAGAGATATTATTTTTATTAAGAATAATAATAACTTTTTTATTTTGGTTTCATTTTTACACACAAGTCAGTTGTTGGCGCTGTACTATTTCAGCTTTCTAATTTGTGATTACAGCGCAAACGAGAGTTGGTATTTAAAAATGATATAAGGCCCGTTTGCCTGATAAGTTGCCAGGAATGGATGGCCCTTATATCGTCTCTATTTCTGGTTATATACTCGATGTATTGATTCAATATAAAATGTTCAATGTTAGGTCGTCTGCACACTTCGTCCCATTTGCCTAATGCCGGTTATGACGGTTAGTCAGGCGACAGACGATTATAAGTCATTCCAGTTTTATATCGCTTCTTTTAAAAATATCACCCTATATTCTGCTTGCGTTATTTTTCCCTTACTTCGTGTATATGTGAACGTTATTCTTGATCAACCAATAGAAGAAATGAATGCCAAGAAACTAACCAATGAGGTGCCACCGACTGGCTGATGGGTTTCTTTTTTGACATTGGCATTTTTTGTTCGTTAAAAAAAATTCAAAAACAAGAAACGCGCTTATTGGTTGAAAGTAACGATTGATTACGATCGCGACTGACCTGATTGGTTAATATCTTGGCGTTGGTTATTTAAGTGTTCGATAAATGAAATTCAAATAACAAAATCGCACCATTTACGATCGCAACTGATGTTATGAAGAATAACGCCAAAAAATATACGATTAACAGAATTAATAATGTTTTCGAGACACCTGTAGATTGCAATATGATCTTAGTACATAGAAGCCACGTAACGACCTTGCACTTCGAAGTTATTCCTCACTTAATATTTATTGCATGTTACATTTGTTATTATTCTATTATAAACAAATTTATGAGACGGTGGTTGGAATCTTGCCTTTATGCCATTGACGTACGATCCGCTCAAAGTTCTTGCTTCCTCTTTTCTGCTACGGTTTGCTAGGATGTGGAATCTCTGCCTGGTGATCTGTTAACCAAAAATATACAATTTAAGGCTAGTGTAGCCGAGTGTAAGGACAGATTATAAGAAAAATCCATTTAATAATAATGTATACATTTTTAAGACTTTAAGTCCTAAAATATAGGAATGCATTAGTCTAGCATTAAAATAAATTAATAAAATTGAACAAAATCCAGATTTTATTTAAAATAATAAGATGTTTCCATATTATATTCTTGCTTTGTAAACAATAGGACGTTCGGTAACTTTCATTCGATAACTGTGTTCTGAATAACGTTTGCCGGTCGAGAAGTTCGAGTAATCATACGGGTGTGACGTCATTTCGGTTCGGTTTTGAATATGACAGTTTCAAAGTTGGATTCGGTTATTGTGAATAAAAATGACAAGATATCGCACGATATCAAGTCGAATCGGTAGACAACTGAGTTATCGTAAGGTTGTGAATCGACCTGTGTCAGGTTGTGTTATTTTGAGTGTGGGGGAAAAAAAATCCTCATAATAATAATAATAACAACGCACACACTTAACATAGCCCCGCACTAGGGAAACCCTGTGTCGCGGGTGCCATGGACACACACAGACAACCACAAATGGATGGATGCTATGATCCTCAACTGTTAGTTGACCAACAACCTGCTGCTTTTGCTGTTGCAGCATCCTATAATCCGTGAGTTACTATTTTATTATTATTTATTATTTAACTGCCTCCGTGGCCGAACGGTTACCATGCCGGACTGCCACGCAGACGTCCCAGGTTCCATTCCCGGGCCGGGAGAAATATTTGTATGACCTACATTTATTTCTCTTGTGAGTTTGGGTGTAATTTGTGGTTGTCTATGTGTGTGTCCATGGCACCCGCGACACAGGGTTTCCCTAGTGCGGCGCTAAGTTGAGTGTGTGCGTTAAAAAAAAAAGTTATTAATTAGAATAATATTATATTCCAGCCAGATAATGGTTAAATATTTGCTTCCTCATAAAAACCTGATACACCGTAGAAGACACTCCACACTCCACTACTGTCATGGTAGTACGCAAATTTTCAAAAGTTCACATTACACGATACCTTTAGTTCGTATTTTAAACTTTAAGTACTTGAAGTCATCAAGTACTTTGATTTTCGCACTTGCTACACATTGGAAATGAAACTAATTTTGGCGAAGTCACCCGTGGGACACATGGGACAGGCACATGGGATTTATCTTACCTATTATACACTTATATCTGAGGGTGACAGAGGCAGTGGCAGTGCTACTTAGATTTGTTCAACGCTAAATGCTATGGATAGGCGTGTTACTTGATATTATAAACAATCGTGACCATGGCGCCTGTAAAAAGCCCCAAAACGTTGATTTATTTGAAAATACAAGATCCGAAAAAAATCTCACGTAGAGTACTCTGACTGACTGAACCGACTTTACCGTGCACTCGAAATTGTAATGTCGCTCCGTAGGTTTTGTCACCTATTATTACATATAGTTTCTGTAGTATCATAATTTCATTGGACGAATTATAGCCCTATGCACTGTTAGATAATCTCTTGTATGCTAGTTACACTGCCTAACCGCCACCTGAGTCTGTCGGTCTGCGCTCGTGTCTTAAAAACGTGGTATCCTCAATGAATATCAAATTAGTGCTACACTTATCTTGCTTTACAGCTACCAGAGGTTGACAAGAGATGTCGCTTTATAAATTGTAATATGGTTTGTAATGTTTTACTATCATGATATTCATTTATTTTTGTGAAATTACTCCGCTGGCTTAGCGATCCAGAATGTGTCTTGGCCCCCGAAACGAGACACTTTCTTCAGTCCTGGGCGAGAGATCGCCAATTGTTGCGATCATCTCCCATCCTTTCTAAATGCCAGCGAATTCTGTGCGCTTTGGTTGCGCTGATGATGTTTGGCTGGGCGACGAGCTCTTCTATTTTGGCGTTAGTGCGGACTAGAGATGGGAAAAACGGCATATTTTTATAAACGTTAAAAGCGTACTTTTTTTAGACGCTTTTTAGCTTGAAGCTTCAAAAAAATCGTTTACAAAAACGTTTAAGCGCATAGACCTTTATGTTAAAAAAAGCTTGCAAAGTTGTTGACAGCGAAAAGCAAGAGTAGACCACTAAAGATTTTAAGTTAAGTAAGTTTATTCGTAAAACACGAGTTTTATTTTTTTATTTATAAAATTATTATTCACATTGATGAATTTTTTTGCTGGAAACATAAATTGAAACTTAGGCACGTTGTCAAAGTTAAAGTTTATTTATTCCATCGGTAAAATAAATTTACACTTGAAAACGTCACATTTAAGCTACTCCTCGTTCACTACGCTGACCTCTCTGAGAAGAACGAGCAAGAAACTCTAGGGATTGCTCTTTTCAAATAAACTTAAATGATATGGAATACACTTTGAATCAAATTTGTTTAGATTCTGTAGCCGTGTCGTCTTTCCATACATCTTTGTCTAACACGTAGTCTTCAATTTTGTAATATGATTTTTCGATCAAAATATTTTTAATGCAGTTTTTAAACTTAGGAAATGATAAACTTAATATATGCTCCGGAATCTTAGTGTAAAAAGTTGTTTACCTTGGTTAAACGAAATTGTGGTACCATGAGTTTGGACTTAGCTCTAAGGTTAATATTATGGATATCTTCTTTCTTATTGAAATGATGTATATTTTTTTGCGTAAAAAATTAAATTGTTGAGTATAGAACTGACCAACGCTTGCTTGCATGTACTTATTTTAAAAAAGCAAACTTTTTTAAGTGCTTTTCGTTTAAAAGCCCACCTCTAGTGCGGACTCGTTCATCTACCATTCACTCATCGCCCTAATATTTTCCTGAGAACCTTTCTCTCAGCCACCAGGAGTTTATCTTCTTAAAGTCTGAAATTACTCCACTAGTTTGTTATAGTTATGAATACAAAGATCAAGATAAATAAGTTCTTGGATCTGAAAGCATACTAACACATGTTTGACTTCTGTCAACTTCTGTCAGATCGAAAATAATTTCAATTGAAAAGTTGTCCGATCTTTACGTCGCGTATATAACCAGAAATAGAGATGAAATCAGGGCCATCAATCCCTGGTAACACATCAGGCAAATGGGCCTTATGTCACTTTTAAATATCAACTCGTTTGTGCTGAAATAACAAATTAGAAAGGTGAAATAGTACAGCGTCAACAACTAACCTGTGTGTATGTCTCCGTATATTCCAAAAATATATAGTATTTATTGTAATAAAGATAATATTCTAACAATGGAGGGCTGTTCCATTCGGTGGTGTGGGAAAAACAACAAAACGTCTAATTACAAAACAAACGGAATCACATTTCATTGTTAATTAAATATTAAATATTTTTCAATTTTCGTCCATTATAGCGAAGCTCAAGGTAAACTGGTCAATTTGAAGTGAAACAATTGACGACACCCGTCGAATTTCGAATTCGGGCTTGCCAATCGGAGCGCAGATGTCATCGTAATGATTTGGCAGAATTAAATAATAATAAATAATAATAATAAATAACGCACACACTCAACATAGCCCCGCACTAGGGAAACCCTGTGTCGCGGGTGCCATAGACGCACACCTAGACAACCACAAATTACACCCAAACTCAC